TTAAGCAGTTATACACAAGGTGGAGGTTTTCCCCACCCCTACCACTGTGGCAGTATTACAAGAGTTTTGGGGTATTTTGGGCTACTGGAGAGTGTTTATTCCCACTGTTGGCACAAATTCTGAAGCCCTTATACTGGTTGGTATGAAAGGGCATCAGGTGAAACTGAGATGAGATATATGCAGCTGCTTTTAGTGCTGCCAATTGGGCAGTCAAGGCCGTACAGGTCTTGAATGTAATGGACTCATCAAGGCCCTGTGAAATAGATGTTCATGTACCTGAAGATGCTTATGGATGGGGTCTTTGGCAGTGGCTTCAATGGAATGTGGATTCTGGTCACAGCTATGGAAAGGAGCAGAAGTCCTGTACACCTTGATAGAGAAGCAACTGGCTGCTGTGTACCATACCTTGCTGGCTACTGAGCATCATTGCTGGAACAGCTCCAACCAAGGTAATAACCACCTATCCCATTGCAGAGTGGACGCGAGAATGGACCCAAAGGCCACGGAGTGGCATGGCACAGACACCTACACTGGCCAAATGGGGTGCATACTTACAGAAACACAGTACCCTCTCTACTAGACCCTTGAGTGGAGAACTCCAATGTTTATTGGGGCCAGTGACCTATACCAGTGGAAAGCAGGAAGAACTTGCTTTTCAGCCCTTGGTAGCCGAGACTCCTTATCAGAAGGGAAAAGCCCCTATACCTGAAGATACTTGGTACACAGACAGCACCAGTCATGCGCAGCCCCTGAAGTGGAGGGCTGTGACTTTCCATCCTAAGGCTGAGACAATATGGATGGAGGATGGAGAGGGGAAAAGCAGTCAATGGGCTTAGTTGCAAGCAGTATGACTTGTGATCACTCAGGATCCTTCCCCCATAATTGTCTGCACTGACAGCTAGGCTGCTTTCGGGGCTCGACCCTGTGGCTACCAACCTGGCACCATGCCAACTGGATGGTTGGTCACCAGCCCCTTTGGGGGCAAGAGTTGTGGCAAGACCTATGGGCCTCTGGTCAGACTAAGACAGTTACTGTATATCATGTGACTGGCCATTTGCCTTTGGCATCCCCAGGGAATGATGATACAGACACATTGGCCCAGGTGCACTGGCTAGAAGGAAAGCCTACCTCTGATGTGGCCCAATGGCTGGAGCAGCATTTGTTACGTGCAGGGCAAAAGACAATGTGGGCTGTAGCCCATAAGTGGGGCTTACCATTGACCTTTGAAGAAGTCAGCAAAGCCTGGAAGGAGTTCCTTGTGTGCTGTAAGAGGGACTTATACCAAGTCCCACAGCAACATGGGACAAGGGTCCGATACTCATTGTCAGGTGGCAGATAGACTACATTGGGTCTCTGCCCATACCAGAAGGATATTGGTATGCCATGACTGGTGTGGACATAGCTACTAGACTATTGTTTGTTTTTCCTGCACATTGTGCAGATCAGGAAATGACCAAAATGGGCCTGGAGCGTCTCTTTGCAGCCTATGGCTGGACACAGGTGATTGAGGGCAATCAAGGTGATTGAGAGATTTACGGGACATGCTTTACAAGGATGGGTGCAGCAATTAGGAATAAAGTGCAAGTTTCATGTACCATATAATCTTACTGGGGCAGGCATGATAGAGAGGTACAGTGGTTCAAATCTGGCCTGATGTCAGACACCAATAGCCTATGGGGCTGGTCAGTTCGCTTATAGATAGTGCTATGGTGTTTGAATGAGAAGCTCCAAAAGTAGCCTTGAGCCCTGTGGATATGCTAACACACAGTGTTACCTCTTCCACACAACTGTATGTGCAAATGAAAGAGGAGTTATTGAAGCCAGGATATGGCCAGCAGAGCAACATCCTGCTGTCAGTCCCAACTGTGTTAAACCCTGGAGATTCTGGTGAGTGAACAAGGCCCCGTACATTTCGACACATGGACCAGTGATGGCTGGCCCTTCTGGGAAAAAGGCCTGGAAGGCGGCCTCCTGTGTGTTCCTGGAGTAACAGCAGAGTGGCTCCCAAAGATCATGGTAGTGTACCCGAAACGTCTGGGAGGTAAAAGCATCTTATGGGGAAGTTTTCTTTTTTCTTTATGGCTAGTGAATGTACCTCCCAGAGTCCTATATATTGACCCATCTGTAACTCCCCCAGGGAGGGCAGTGAAAGTCTATTATACTAGACCAGGACAAGATCCCAATCCTGCCACTGTCCTGTCAGAGGACCACTCTCTTGTATGCATCCTACCTCATGGTCAACATTTGCCTATGCTGGTGTCATTAAAATGTGTATATTATCTCCCTTAAGGTTACAGTCCCTGTGGCCTGGACCCACTCCTGGGGACACCTGTTGCTTGATGATTGTTCTAAACTCCCTACCCATTCAGCTACTGACCACCTGTGAGATGCACAAGCTGTGGACTAAATCTGCATAGGACTTTGAATTTAGCTGAATCCTCTGGTTGAGGATTATCATGATTTTATTGCTGTTATTGTACATTATTAGTCTGGTTACAGTGCTCCACTTTTCTCACACAGGGGCTTGTGTGGAAATTGGGGAGCAATCTGATTGTGATGCAAGATTTCTGGAGGGGTGGGCTATGGGTAAAATAGCATATTTCCAGAATCTCTTGCCTGGCCTTAGTGCATCTCCCTATCAATAGGTGTTTTCAAAGGGTGAGGAGAAGTAGTTCATCTCCATATCAATAGGTAATTACAAGGGTGAGCGAGGGCATATCTGGACCACATATCTGGACCAGAGAAGTTGGGTGGGGCCCCTTTTTGTGCAGCCAGGGTCGTGAGAGGCACGAATGAGCAGAAGTGGATGACTGCTTGTAAGCAGTAAATGGGTTTCTCCCAATTTATGTCTCCTTTTGATTGATTTTGGTTCAAAGGTATTTTGCCCCAGGCTGGGAGAGTATTTCCCACCCACCCCGGAGTTACAGGGCTTGAATATACAGGTATATATGTATAAGTATATAATTGTTGCTGGGCAGCTGCATCTGGGGAGGTCTCTCCTTGCACACCAGATAAAAGCTCAACATGAGCAGAGGAGGATTCTTGACTCTGAAGGAGAAAGAATTCTCAAGCAGGTTGTAGGAGTGTACGTAAGGAAGGAATTCTTTAAAGCAATAGCAGCAGGGAATGGCAGCTGCCTTGCAGGCAGGAGAAAGCAGAAGAGTGTGGAGAGAACAAGGGAAAACTCTGGGCCTAGGGCAGATTTCCTTTCCAACTCTTAAAGCCAGGATCACCTGGTGTCCTGTGTCTGCTTGGATTTGCATGGTGTGGGAACTAGTCCCTACCACCCCAGGATTTGAGTGAGCTGCAGACAAGGAATGGAGTGAGATTATGTTCTGAGAACTTCCCCCAAAAAAGGAGATTCTCAGGCAGGCTCTTGCAGCTGCAGTTCTGACCTAATCACCCAGGTGGAAGGAACTTGCAGGTGCAAATCTGAGCTCTCAGCAGCCCCTCACTACTTATCTGGGGTAAAATAGAGACTTGGAAATACAATGAAATAGCAAAAAGACAAAACGCAGTAAGCTGAGCTGTGATCAGCTTTATTTAAAAGTATGCACTTAAAGAAAGGAAAGAGCAGGTATCCTCAGGAGGCACACTGAAAGGCTGGGGATTCCGTCTTTTTAAGGCTTTCAAGAAGGGGCAAAGGGCGGAGGGGTTTTTGAGTGTAGGCTTGACTTGTGGTCTCATGATGTCTCTCTCTAGTGAAAGACACTATGTCCTCATCCACAGTCAGTCCTCTAGATAATTCTATAATATACACTTAGCATAAGATATTTATTGATCTTGTTCTTCTCTAAAATAGTGGTTATCCTTAAGCAGTGGGGACATATCAATTAAGACTACTTGCCCTGCCTTAAGATTGGGTGGGTTGATTGTCTGATTACCAAAGAATATGTTAGGAATATTACTTCTCAACTCTCTGCTTTTTAAAATGGAATCTTAGCCTTAAGATGGGGTCCCTCCTGTTCTTACTATACTGTTTCTTTGTCAGCATTTTTCATCTTAGGCAGGAAAAGTTAATGATGATGCTTGTCCCATGTCCCTGCCCTACCTCATCATCTATGTAAATGTCAAAAGTAATGAAAGGTAGAGGATGTTACTTTGGATTATTCAACTTTTCTGCAGGTTTGACATTTTTCAAAATTAGTTGGGGAAAATACTCAGGAATATATAGAGAAACTAACAAAATTTTAAAGATACAAAATATAATACGAATTGAATTGAAAAGGTATATATCATCTCAGAAAAAAAATCTCATCCTGTTACATCCCTGCTTAAAACCTTCACTAGCTTTATCACCTAGGATAAAAGACAAAAGACCTAGCAAGGCCTGCAAGGCTCAAAAGAGCCCCTGCCTCTCTGCCCAGCTGGCTTACCCATTCCCTCTGCTTCACATCACTGTCATCTTTGACCCCCAGACTCCAACAATACCTGACTACAATTTAAGGAACCACTCCCCCAAAGCTCTCTCTCCTCCTGGCCTTTGCATGTGAACTACCACAGCCCGACAATGAGGGACAGAGAAAGGGAGTTTTGTGCTGTCTCTTCCGGATTGTTCCCCAAAAATCTCCTCTGAAGTTTTCTGTTTCCCCAAGTCTGGGTGACAGGCCTCCTTGGCATCCTATTCCTAGTCCCATCATAGCACTTAACACACAATATTGCAATTGTCCACTCACTTGCTCATCTTTTTCAGTATTCTGTAAACTCAGGACAGGGCTTGCTTTATTTCCTAGGGGACAACTGGTCGGTGTACAATAATTACATATTCAGTGAATGGAGTGGTCTTCCATTTTCTTGTATGTAAAATGAAGAAGCTGGGCTAGATGACATACTAAACCTGTTGGCAATAATATTATCGAGTAATCCCAATCCCATTTGAGCAGGAATTTCCTGTTATTGTTCGCCTTCCTCTGCTTTCGAATTTCGGACAACCTCACGAGCAGGGAGAATCAGGACTACAGTTCCCGTGAGGCCTCGGGGTACCTGGTGGCCCGGCCCCTCGTGCAGCGAGGACTCATTTCCCAGCGTGCCTCAGGACGAGAGGGCGGCGTTTTTCCGATATGTCAGGAGTCGCGTTCCTAAGCAGGAACTGCGGTAGCCAAGGCTGAGCGAAAGGTAGAATGGGCCCAGCTCGGGGTTCAGAGGGGGCGTTGGTTCTACGAAAAGGCCGCAGCTGCACATACCCTACTAATGGCGCTATCCAGCCCATTCCTTGCTAATGTCTATTAACGAACGTGCCTCGCGCGCTGGCCCTCTAATCATACGTTACCTCTCCGCTGCCCGCCGCTGGAGGCCAAATATACCCTCGTCACACAGGAAAGGGGAGGTGTCTCCGGTCTGACTTGTGTGGCGTAGAGGCAGGTCCCCCTTAGGAGCGGAGTGTGGACGTTGGCGGATGGGGATGGGGTGTTGGTGAGACTGGGCTCTCACCAGGCGGGAGGCCCTAACCGTCTCTGGTCCTTGTCTCTGTGGTAGCCAATGCTGAGTGGGCAGCTGATCGAGCGCCTGTCCTCCATGGCCGGCCGCGTCTGTGTAGCCCGTAGCAACGCGGGATCAGGGACGATTGGACCTGTCGAGGCTGCGATTCGCACGAAGTTGGAGCAGGCCCTGAACCCCGAGATACTGGAGCTGCGCAATGAGAGCGGTGGCCATGCGGTCCCACCAGGCAGCGAGACGCATTTCCGCGTGGCGGTGGTGAGCTCTCGCTTCGAGGGACTGAGCTCCCTGCAACGGCACCGGCTAGTCCACGCTGCCCTGTCCGAGGAGCTGGCTGGGCCAGTCCACGCGCTGGCCATACAGGCGCGGACCCCTGACCAATGGAGGGAGAACCCTCAACTGGACACGAGCCCCCCCTGCCTGGGTGGAAGCAAGAAAACTCGAGGAACCCCCTGAGAGAGGAAGGACAGGGATCTGAATGGGTTGGGTGGAATAAATTACTGGAGCCTTCTTCCCTTAAATACAGCCTGGTGTTTATTACTGGAACCTTCTTCCCTTAAATAGTCTGGTGTTTGTAAGGATGAGGACCTCTGAACCTTAGCCAACAAATCATACATATTCTCTGGAGAGAGCAACACATTTCAGATCAAAGTTAACCCAAGGAAAGAGTATAATCACTACTGCGATTGCCCTGAACTATTCAAGAAAAGCTGCCCATTTGCTTCATGTTAAATTGCAACTAAGGAACCATCACACCTGATGAGTTGGAAATAATCATGAACATTAAAAAAGTCATCATAGAAGGTGCATTGCTCTATTGTTCATGGCCTGATAAATCAGTGCTACAGATATTCTTTGGAGAAGAGTGTACCTATGGCCTGTGGTAGTCAGGAAGGGCTTCACTGGGGAAGTGACGTAGTTAAATCTTTAAAGGAAAGCACAGTTAAAGAGGAAGGGGTAGACAGCGGGGAGAGCCCACAAAGGCTTCTATGGACTGGGCAGGGGTTGATTGGATAAGACAGGAGTTATGGATGCATTTGAATTCTATATTGGGGGAACGTTTAGCTTTCTAGCAGCCTGTCCATTTTCAAAAGGGTATTTGTTTCTAAGAAAAACCTTTATGAAAAAAAAAAGTAGTGAAAAGATAACCTAGAAAATGAATATGGAAAAGGGAGAAGACTTTTGTAGCCTATATTCTAACGAACCTTTCAAATACATTTCTGAGGGAAGCTCAAGTAACATCTAGATAAGCAACTTCTGATGATTGTTAGGCTGCAGGCATCAGGGGAAGGGGTGAGCCTGATGGACAAGCTCAGGCCTCACCAAACAAGGCGAAGAGACCAACAGGTTCTGGTCTGACAACATTCCAGAGCCTGATGGGATAACACTCCCAACTAGAGCCCTTCCCCCAAGCTAAAGGATTAGTAACTTTCCAGTACCTGGCTAAAGGCCAATGAGAGACCCCCACATACCCTAAATGAGCCAATCCTCACGCCAATGTACACCTTTGCTCTCCCTCCCCCTGCCTTCTTTAAAAACTTGCTGCCTGCCCTGCTGGGTGTGACTTCTCCGGCCTGTAGTACCCAGGCCAGGGCCATGGGAACATCACCCGGGGGTGGCATTCAAATAAATTACCTGGCCCTTTGTTGCCTCTCTTCGCCTGCTTACTTCAGTCGGAATTTATTGGAATTTATCTTACATATGGTGCTGAAACCTGGGAAGGAGTGTGAGTGCGGGCCCGACCGGCCACCAGTGGCTCCGCCCCCGCCTTCCCCAACCCAGGACCTCAGACTGCTTTCTGCTGCATGGACTATTTTCCAGTGAGTCCCTCAGTTTCCCCCGGTCTGTTTCTCTTCCTAACTCTGTTCTGGTCCGATAGAAATTGTACGTACATCCAGGGGGCACCCGGCCCCTGGGCATTCAGCCCATCCTCTGCAGGCATTCGCCCCCCCCAGCCCTGCGGTATGGGAGACGTCCCTACCTCAGGCCCCAGGACATCTGTGGGCATCCGGCCCACCCCTGGCCCTGCGGTGTGGGAGATGTCCCTCACCCAGGCTCCCAGGCCATCTTCCCTGACTTGGTGCACTTGGGATACTGGGCACTCCTCTCAGCAGGATTAGTTGGGAAGTGGCACAGACATGGGGAACCAGCCCTCAAAAGTGGAGGCCCAGACCCCATTACGGTGCCTCATTTCTAATTTGGCTACTCTATATTTGTCCTGGGAAGTTCTCAAATAAAAGCTAGTCTTTCTTTGCTCTGAGGCCGGGCCTCAGTATCCCTTGGACAATCAATCTCACTGGTCCTCTGAGGGAACTTTCAATTTTAGCCTCCTCACCACCTTAATTAATTATTGCCACTAGAGCAGAGAGTAGAGTGAAATCCCATATGTGCAGGCTTTTTGGACGTTGCACTCCAGTCCAAACCTTTATGTTGTGTTCAATGACTCAGGTTCTCCTACCCTGATATCCAGTTAATCTCCCACCTCCCTCAGCTCATGACCCCCTCGTGTGGGGGCCTGGCCTACGGCCAAGGCTGAGCCCCACTCTAGCTGGACAACGCCCTAAAGATGGCGCCTGCTTCCTAGACACCACTCTTCCTGGCCCTACAGCTCAGGGCATAAGGAAGTCTCCATGATTGGCTTGTCCCCATTTCCGTGCTCGTGCTCATAGCATGCTTTTCACATGTTTCCAATAAGACTGAACCTGGCGCATGATCAGTCAGCTGATTGGTTGGGATATGCTATATAAGCTGCTGCCCTGGAGGAAGTGTGGTGGTGGTTGTTTTTTGCTTTTGCCTTTCACTAGATGGATGCTCAGACGCCCATAATAAAGATTCCTAACGGGGCGGAGCCAGGATGGCGGCGTGAGTAGAGCAGTGGAAATCTACTCCCAAAAACACATAGAGCTATGAAAATATACCAAAGAAAAATCTTCCTAAAATAGAGACCACAGGACACAGGACAACATCCAGACCACATCCACACCTGCAAGAACCCAGCGCCTTGTGAAGGGGGTAAGATACAAGCCCCNTCATTCCTTTATTGATATCTGTTTATTAGTTCTTTGTGGAAATAAAATAAGCACATGGAATCCACTGGGATATGCTGTCATTGATTATTTCATGGAAGGTTCTTGCTGTTAGGGTGTAAAATCATCCTCAACTTATTTTAATTCTTTCATCTGCTGCTTTTCTGGGACAACCATTAGGTAAGGTCACTTGCTTGTTAAGAACTTTATTGGAAATCAGAATGACCAGGCAAACTGCCATACATTTCCCTGTAATACGGGGTTTTACAGCTTGGTGACACAGATTCCATTTTTTTGTCAGTTTGTTCTTATCCATTTCCCTTAGTTTAAGTGAGAAAGAAGAGAGGCTACTGCACTAATTTTGGTTGGTACAGAGACTATTGAAAATCTTTTTTGAGCCTATTACATTCTGGAAATTATTATAGCATGAAAAAATCCTGCAAAATATAGGCGAAGCATGACACATTACATACTTACTTTACCTACTCTAATATTAATCAAGTGTGCTTTTAGTTTTACCATTCACATCAGGAGAAAATGCCTGGGTGAGTCCTTACTGTTCTAATATAAAAGGTCTGATTAAAGTAAAGACCCCAGGTTCACAAACCTGACAAGATACTAGACACAGAGAAAGTAAAAAGAATGCCACCTCCCAAAAGAACCCTAGACATGCAGGAATATAAAAAAAGAGTATGTCAGCTGTCAGACTCTGCATACTAGTATAGTCACTTCCATTTAAAAATGCTATGATTCTGACCTTCAAATGGGTCTCTTTGTTTTGCCGATCCAAATTCAAAGCCAGTTAGTTGCAGGTTCAAAAGAAGAGAAGGACGATATTTCAAGGGGAGAATTTCTTGGGGATAAGAATGACCATAATAGTTATCTTCATTTGCTTTGCCTGGGATGGATAATACTATGCAACCATAGCTACGTCTTTTGTTAGACCAAGTTCTTCTGCCAGGTGAAGTCAAGAGTCCCAACCTTCAAGGAAGAACAACCTTTGGTGGTCATTGTGAATTCTTTTGCCCTCAGTTTGGACTCTGGTATTAAACCTTATCATTTATCAGAAGTGGACATATAACTGACACACAGTTGGTACCAGCAGAATGCACATTCATTCATTCATTCATTCATTCATTCTTTCAGCACATATTTATTGAGGGTATGCATAGAACTATTCTAAGCACTGGAGGTACAACAGTGAAGAGAAAAGACAAAAATCTCTTATGGATCTTGCCTTCTAGTGGGAGAGATAGACAATAAATAAATAAACAAACTGTTTTAAGAAAGTCGGAGGCGGAGCCAAGATGGCAGCGTGAGTAGAGCAGTGGAAATCTCCTCCCAAAACCACATATATCTATGAAAATATAACAAAGACAACTCTTCCTAAAATAGAGACCAGAGGACACAGGACAACATCCAGACCACATCCACACCTACGAGAACCCAGTGCCTTGCGAAGGGGGTAAGATATAAGCGCCAGCCTCACGGGACCCAAGCACCCCTACCCCCAAATCCCAGCAGGAGGAGAGGAGTCAGAGCTGGAGGGAGAGGGAGCTGAGGACTGCTGAACACCCAGCCCCGGCCATCCGCACCAGAGCGCAGGCACAGTGCAGGCGTGGGGTCCTGGATACTAGGGAAACGGGGCAGCAGGACCGGTGAGTGGGTACCTGAGGCCGACGCTGGAGAACAAAGAAGCGGAAGCAGCCATTTTCTTTTTTTTTCCTCTTTTTTTTTTGGCGAGTGCTTTTTGGAAGTCTTAAAGGGACAGGGACCCCAATACTAGGGAAACAGGGCAGCAAGACTGGTGAGCAGGTGCCTGAGGTAGGCGAATGAGGACAAAGAAAATCGTGCGATTTTCTTTTTTTTTTTAATTATTTATTTAAATTTTTGTTTTGGTTTGGTTTGGCGAGTGCTATTTGGGAGTCTTAAAGGGGCAGGGCGGGACACTTAGTCCAGATGCAGGGAATATGGGGATCTCTGGGCACTCTTACCCCCTGGGCAGTGGGGAGCATGGAGGCCCCTTACGGAGATAAATAGCCTCCCGGCCGCTCCCCCTCCAACGGAGCTCCACCATTTTGGAACAGCAGCCCGAGCCAGCTATGCCCAAAGCTACAGCAGAGATAAACTCCATAGCAGTCGGGCAGGAAGCAGAAGCCCTGTCTGCGTGCCCCTGTCTGTGTGCAGCTGCCCAGCACAAGCCACTAGAGGTCGCTGTTCTCCCAGGAGAGGAAGGCCACAAACCAACAAGAAGGAAAGCTCTTCCAGCCATCACTTGTACCGGCTCTGCAAAGTATCTCTATCACCATGAAAAGGCAAAACTACAGGCAGAGAAAGATCACAGAGTCAACACCTGAGAAGGAGACAGACCTAACCAGTCCTCCTGAAAAAGAATTCAAAATAAAAATCATGAACATGCTGATGGAGATGCAGAGAAAAATGCAAGAGCAATGGGATGAGATGCAGAGAAAAATGCAAGAGCAATGGGATGAAGT